CCTAAACATGATGGGATGATGTTCAGTCCCCACACCTACTCCCTGAGGTTCCTCAGCAGCCTGGGGTATTCCTTGGAAACCAAGAACTTTTTCCATGGCTTACCTGAGCCTTTTCACTAGACTGAAGGACAGACTACATGGATCACCTCTGGCCATGCCTGGTTGGGAGGAAGGTTGGGCAATCTACTTCCATAGTTAATACCACCTCAGAAACCCAAGAAGGGGTCTCTATGAGCCAGGTCCAACTCGATGGCATATAACAACAAACAACAACAGTAACCCTAGGCAAGAAAGGATGGCTTAGGGATGAAAGATAAAGAATCTGCTTCCCACCACTTCCATATAGCAGTTAAGTCATGCTATGGTGTCTCCATGTTGTCTTCCAGATGAGGGACCACTAACCTCTCCCCATCATGCCCTCTTACTCTCTACCACCCACATCTTCAATTGCTGCTCACTTCAGTCTTCCTGAACTTGAAAGACTCTACGTCTAAGATCAGAGGTTTCTCACTCCTGCCTAAAATCACTTTTCATTTGGAAAACACCTACCTACACTTCAAGACCAGCTCAACTTCACCTCCCTGGCACCTTCCATGCCTTCACAGCACAATGTATAGACCATAGCTGGCATCAGCACATGGTAGTTGCTGGTCCACACATAAGTCTCTTTCAAAGACTAACTCCTTCTGGATGAGGCTTTGTCTTTGGTGCTAACACATTTCAGGGACTCAGGACGTGCTTCCTAGATGGCCAAGGGCAGGAAATCTGGATTTAGCTTCTTGCAACTTTGAGTCATGATTCTTCAATTGCCTGCTGACTACTGAAATGCCAAATGTTAGCCCTTGCATCACTTCTTGCTACACCCAACAATGTTCATTTCACAATTCCTAAGCATCCAGGACAACATAGTTGGCAAAAGGGGATAGGAAGAATCATTTATTCCCACACTCAGAAAGTAGGTTACATGTGCAGATACTGTACAAAACTGAGCAAAATAAAATGTCTTTCTCATGATACTAATGTCCTAGTGGTGGAGCTTATATCTTAGTGGGTATGATGACATAAGATTTAGTCCTTATCCTCGGAATGGCATCAGTAAGCTTTCACCTAATGTACAAATGTTCTGCCCATGACCCACCCCCTCCCATGTACGTGGACACCGCAGGCAGCAACTTCAAATTTTCTCCAGATAGGGTTCTTCTCCCTGGGAAGCAGACCAGGGCCGAAGCCTGCACAGGCCTTGGTAGCAGGCATGGGGCTATTTGGGAAGAGAATTCTCAGATTCCATGTGCATAAGAGTGGTCTAGAGGGGTAGATGTGAGTTCAAGGTGGACACTGGCTTTGGATTAGGCCTCTTTGTCCCGTGTACTCTAAAGTGCAGAGCCCAGGACAGTGTCTAACAGTGGTATTAGTCACCAGTGATTGAAAAAGCTTTGTTGCAAGTTTATGTTCACTTTCTTAAGAAATGTTAAGGAGGTAATTATCCATCTTTGTCCATTCTGCTTTTATCCCAGTCTGGAATGCACCACCCAGACAGCAGAGGCCTGACGGATGCCCTTGGCTCATGAAAATGACCCTCTTCGACCCGTGGATGTTGATTTGCTCAATTCACAGGGAGGGTAGAGGTGGGAGATAGGGTTTTGACAGCAGCAGGGGGCAACATCACTTCAGGAGGATGAATGCTTGCAATGTTTGGGCTGAGAGTGGAATTCTAATATGTCAAATGTCAAGGCATAAGGGTGCTAATGGCTGCTGGGAAATTCGGGATCTGACCCAGTGCCTGGGTCTCCTCAGCTCTGGACAGGGGAGCCTCCATGGTGCCGAGGTGGCAGCTGGCATCCTTATTAATGGCTCAGTGTGCATGTGGCCCTCCTGAAGCAGGGTGTGTTTGTATATATGTGTTGGGGCGATGGTAGCAAATATTCCATTTTATCACTTGATGATTTTAGATAATGTCTTCTCTGGAAAGGGACTTCTCATATCTCTTTCTTCAGGGAGAAGGCCTTAAGGGATTGAAGTGTGCAAGAAAGAGTTGAAAATTTAATTCCTTTCATAGAAAAAGGGGGTTGCATAAGGGCATCTTACAGCCCAGAGAGGTTAACTATCTTGTTGGAGGCCACACACACATCAGGGAGAGCAGAAGTGGGCTTCAACCATGCCTGGTCTGACTCCACAGCCTGGACTGACCTACTCACCTGCTACAAATATGGTGGTCTTAAAACATGACCACACATTCTCTGACATGCCCTAGAATGAGAGGTAAAATCTTTATTCCCTCACCTTTAATCCTGGTACCCTTGTGACTGCAATAGACTACTGTGGAAATGATGCTGCATGACTTCTAAATGTGGATCATAAAAGGCTGTGCCTTGATCATATCCCTCCTACTTGGAGCCCTAGCTGCTATATATAAGTCCCACTAACAGAGGCTGCCATGTGGGGAGGCCATATGCAGGTATTCTCATTGACAGTCCCAGCTAAGCCTGTCTTTTAGTCATTTCAGCCCAGGTATGAACTGTGGGGGTGGAGAAGCCATCTTGGAAGCAGTTCCTCAGCCCTAGTGGTTTCACCCCCAGCCATCTGTACCAATCGAGGCCCCAGATTCCATGGAGTAGCCTTCCTGTCCAGGTCTTTCTGAATTCTTTTTTTTTCTTTTCTTTTTTTTTGGTTCCTTAGGTGACAGATTAAAGGAAAGTTTTCTTTTCTTTTTTAAAATTGTGATTTGGGTGACAGTTTACAGGCAAATTCACTTTCCATACAGCAGCTCATATATGCTTTGTCTTATGGCATTGACTACAATTTACCACAATGCAACAGTTCTCTTCCCACTTCCTCCCTAAAGTTACTTCTTTCCTGTGTCCATCCCTCCATGGACTCCTGCCCCCTGAGCTATCTCTCTGTGCATACACAGCCCTTCTGTTCTCCCATAATTGTTCTCTCCAAGGAGTATATCTACCTAGTGTAAATGTTCACCTCATATCTTGTCTTTTGTCTTTTGTTTGGCTGGACACCACAAGTGTGGGTTCAATTCCAGACCTGAAGGGCAGCTAGGAGCCATATTTCAGTGGTTCCATTAGGCTCTATCAGACCAGCAAACCTGGTCCCTTTTTTATTTTCCCCAAATGATTTTGAGTTTTGTTCCACATTGTTCTCCCACTCTATCCAGGATCTCCTACACAGATTCCCTTCCAAGTGGTTGACAATGGTAGCTGGGCACCATCTGGTTCTTCTGGTCTCATAGTCGTATAGGCCAAGGATCACAGGATGTACCAGTCGCTTGGACTAATTGTCTCCACGAATCTTTGGTTTTCTTCATTCTTCTTTGCTCTGGATGGGGAGAGACCCATCGTTGCATCTAGATGCTGTTTGCAAGCTTTTAAGATCCCAGTTACTAGTCACCAAAGTAGGGTGTGGAAAAATGTTTTGTGTAGTATGTTATGCCAATTGAGCTTGATGTCCCCTGTGACTATGGCCCCGAGCCCACAGGTCCTACTGTTCACTCCCTCTGGGTAGCTGGCTATGGCCAAGAAGCGACTACAACCTTGTCCCTTGTCAGCTCTCCTAGATACCTGGGAATTCTCACAGAACATACCAATACGCTTGTTCTTTCTGAATTCTTAACCCACATGATCCTTAGCATAATAAAAGGTTATCGAGTAATGTCACTAAATTGGGGAGTTTGTTTTTCAACAATAAATCACTGGAACAGTATTCAGAGCATTCATGGGAGAGTGAGTGCCACAGAGCTGGGATGCTTCATGTCATGACCAGTCCAAAGTCTAGCCCAAATCTTTCCAGGTCTGCAATCACTCCTTAGATACATCTTCACACCACCTCTCCCAAAACTATCCAAACAGGGATCAGACAAGTTAAAGATCTTAGACCCACTGATTCCAGAGAGGAAGATTCTACGGCAATGGTGGACAGTAAGAGGCCAAAAGGGAAGGGAACAAGCTTTTATTGATCATCTGCTTTGTATCAGACACTATGCCGGTTGTCATTATAATCCAGTAATTTAACAAATATTTTATCCCTACCAATTACCAGGAATGGCAATTAAGCCATGCATAAAATATGTGGGGCTCACATATGAGTAAGGATGATAGACACCAAGCAAATAAATATACTGTTTCAGGCAGTGGCGAGTAGTATGGAGAAAAATAAAGCAGGGTAAGGGGAAGATGAGGGCAATGATGGTTCAGTGGCAGAATTCTTGCCTTTCATTCAGGAGGTCCAGGTTCAATTCCTGGCCAACGCACCTTACCTGTAGCCACCACGTATCATCAGTGGAGGTTTGCACATTTCTGAACAGGTTTCGATGGAGGTTCTAGACTAAGATAGACTATGAAGAAGGGCCTGGTGATCTATTTCCCAAGAGGTGAGTACATGAGCAGAGAGAGGAAGGTTAAATAGTAGAAAGCAAGTTGGTTATCTTCCAACCTATGAATGTATGGCCTTTAAAAATGGATTTGACTGCTAACCAGAAGGCTGGTGGTTCAAACCCACCAGCCACTCCTCAGAAGGAAGATTGGGCAACCTACTTCTGTAGTAATACTGCCTCAGAAACCCAAGGAGGGGTCGCTATGAGTCTGATCTGACTCGACATCAGTGAGTTTGTTTTTTTTTTGGAAAACAGTCTGTTTTCATTATTCACAGTATTTATGTTTTACAAGGTCCTCGTGAACACAGGATTAGCCAATACTAAACCATCAACCTTGTTCAACCTCTGCTGAGAACTTTTTGCCATTCCGCATATGTTGTGAATGTCTGTGAATCACCATGAATACACCATGAGTATTTTATTGTGAAAAGGCAAGTTTATGAATGTGGAATTCTCCAATAATGCAGAGATCCCCTCACCCCCCTTACAGGGCTCAAAAGTCCCTACCAAGAGTGTGCACAGAAGTGGCAGGGCAGCAGCAGCACTTAACTGCCTGCCTCACCTCAGCTAGGCCCACCATCTGAGCCCCTCCAGGCAGAGGCTGGAGAGTAGTACTTACACAGAGCACATGAAGGACCACTGCCCCTTGTCTCCTGTCCTCGTTGCTGAAGATGTCCCTGGGGAACTCATGCAGGGCTAAAGAGAGAAAAGAAAAGCAGTTCAGTACAGACAGCGGCATTTTCAGTGCTATAGGTCTGGGACAGTGTCACTAATCCTGATCTTAGAGTCCTCGTTTCAATGTGGAGTCCACGGACTTGGATGGAGAAAAAAAATATATCTTTATTTTTGTGAACCTCTAACTAGAATTTAGTATTTTCTTCAGAGAAGAATACCACCCACCAGCCACAGTAGTGTTAGTAGAACGTAGAACTGTTCCAGCAAGTATTTTCACGATAAATTATCCTTGCTGCAGATCTCACTGATCACCTCTTCAACATCATGACCATTTTAATGAAGAAGCATGTGTATTGCTAAAGTATGCATTTATTTTCTAATATTTTAACAACTTCCTTTAAATATGATCAGTTCCTTTTTGCAATCCTCTGCATTTTATTGTGTGCACTGAAAATGATTTTCTGAGAAGGGATCTATAGGGTCACTGGATTGCAAAAAGATCTAGGTCACAAACAGGTTTAAGGAAGCCCTGCTCTAATTTGTCCTCCATTTTCCTCCTTTCCATTCCCAATGTACTTGCCCTTAGTTTGAGTTCAGGATTTTTGTCTATTACAAGTTCCTCACTATTCTGCACTTTACTCCCTTTTCCCACTAGACTCACGCTTGTCGCCAGACTCAGCACGTACTGCAAAGGTTGCTCACACCTCTCCCTTGGCCCAAAGCTTTCTATAAAAAACTTGTTGCTATAGAATTGACCCTGACTCCTGGCATCTCCACGTGTACAGAACAGAACAGTGCTCTGTAGGGTTGTCAATGGCTGATTTTTCAGAAACAGATCACCAGTACTTTCTTCCAAGGCACCTCTGGGTAGGCTTGAACGTCCAACCTTTCAGTTAGCAGCAGAGTGCATTAACCACTTTCATCACCCAAGGACTCCAAAACCCTTCAATCTCATGAGATAAAAGCCTGTAGAAAGACAGTACCAAGCCAGTCCTGGCTGGCCCCTTTCCAGACCTTCCTTCCCTCTCTGTTTTATACTTTGCATATGTTTACTCGCTCAGACAATGACCTATTATGTGTCCAGCACCACACTCACTCACGGCCATCAAGTCGGATCCAACTCATAGCAACCCCTCCCTGAGTTTCCGAGGTAGTATCACTATGGAAGTAGATTGTCTAACCTTCCTTCCAAGGAGTAGCTGGTAGGTTTGAACTGCCAGCCTTCTGGTTAGCCTTAGGCAATTCAGTAGTGATTATCACATATGCTCATACTGTTGCCAAATAGGATCATTTGCTATCCTTGAACACACCATGCATTTTCTTTGTTTCTATATCTTTGTTTGCTTATTATTTACTGGCATAGGTTTCAATCTGGAATATGCAACCATTCCCAACTGAGCCCCCTGGCTCTGCTTCTCATAAAATCCAATCAATCTCTATGGCCTGGTGCTAACATCACCACCTCACCTGGTCCCTCTAGCAGAATTCAATGCTCCCCATTATCAAACAAACAGACAAACCAAACTCACTGCCATCAAGTAGATTCTGACTCATAGCAAGCCCCCACTGGGTCTCCAAGGTTGTAAAAGAAGCAGACTGCCTCATCTTTCTTTTGTGGAGCAGCTAGCAGATTTGAACCATCAACCTTTCAGTTAGCAGCCAAATGTTTTAACCTTATACTCCCAGAGCTCCCCTCCATACCAAAAAACAAACCCACTGCCATCAAGTCAATTCCAGCTCATGGCAACCCCCATGGGGTTTCCAAGACAGTTACAGAAGTAGATTGCCCCCTCTTCCTTCTAAGGAGTGGCTAGGAGGTTTGAACTGCCAACCTTCTGGCTAGCAATCAAATGCCTTAGGCACTGTACCACTAGAGTTCCCCTCTACAGAGAAGGTTAAAGGTCAGGTGCTGCAGGACTCAGCATGCTGAAGCAGGGCTCCTCCTCAGTCCCAGCTTCAGCAGGCATCAGTAGCTCATGACTGCAACCTTTCCCTGAGAGATTCAATGAAGGTTCTCTCTAGAGAATCCTCAGGGAAACTGTTACCAGCTGATGAGAATGATTTCATGTCCCTGAAAAAGATGCAACTGCTGCCCTGCCCAGATATGCTTAATTGAGCTGGTGCACCTATCCCCCCTTGCTGTGAACATTGCCAGCTAGTGGTTCAGAATGCATTCTTCTCCCAAGAATTGCTCTTGACTGATGCCTGCTACCTCACTCAGAAATGCCTGGAAGTTTAAGTTCAAGACCCCTCCAAAAGGAGTCTGCAGCCAATGCCTGACTGATCCAGTCAAGTCCATTCTGATCATGGCGACCTCATGTATGTCAGAGTAGAGCATAGGGTTTTCAATGGTTGTTTTTTTGGAAGTATATTGTCAAGCCTTTCTTCCATGGTATCTCTGGGTGAAACTAAACCTCCAACAGTTTTGTCAGCAGCCAAGTGCATTAACTGTTTGCACCACCCAGGGACTCCAAAATGAAGGTAAAATCTAGAAAACGTGAAACCACAGAAATCATTTCAAGGGGGCAAGGGCCCACAGAAGAAGCAAGATGTCCATCCATGGCCCTGGACATTGAAGCAATTATATTGAGATATCTTAATTCTAGAATTTTCTCTCCACAGGCTTGAGACTTCTAGCTGATAGTATTGTCACTCTGTCCTGCAGAGCTGGAAGTAGCTCTCTAGTCTCTCTGATGAAAGTTCCTTAGTTTCCTCTACCTGAAACCTCACTGCTGGTAACAGTGTCATGGGTGGGGCTGGGTCTCTCCTTCTTTTCCCCACTCTCTCACTCTTCTTTTGCATACAGAATACCTTATGTTCTCAACAGGTTCCGACTCAGCTTTATCCTTTGAACTTATCTTTGATTCACCCCAAGTAAATGAGTTTTAGCCCAAGTAGCCACTGCATGTTCCCCCATTCCTCTCCTCTTCTCAAGAAGTCCAGTATGATCAGAAGCACGAGTATGGTTCCCTTATGACCACTTTCCAGACAATAGTCATAACCAGTAGTGACAGAGGGAAGAAGACCAGAGGGAGGATAAGGAAGGGCCCATGGGAGTAGCACTGATCATACTTTCTTGAACACTCCGAACCCTAGACCTTCCAAGATTCTGAGTATGAGGCCTGTGTTTACCTGTGCTTGCCCAGATCTGCATCCCAATCTTTGGGGCTGAGAACATGGCCACCACTGTCCATATTTTTGTATCTTTTTAATCTGGTAGCCCCTTGTTTTGTATAAATTCTCCCTTCCCTTGGGATGGGAGACAGAGAAAAGGCTGGTGATAGAATGAAAAAGGTTGAGATGAAAGTTCTGAAGGAGGCAGGAGGCCTGCTGACAAACTTCCTCAGCAAGGACAATGAAGCATATTTAATGAGAACTTGCCCTAGGCATGACTCTCATTTTATAGACAAGGAACCTGAGGGGCAGGTCATATAATGCACTCCACGACCCCAGATAGAATGCTACAGAGGCCATACATCCAGCAAGTTGTCACCTCATCTCCTGGCATCTATTTGCAACCATACTCTGCCCTGTGACCTCTTCCTTCTCCTGACGTCCTCCAAAAAGGAGATCAGGATCCAATCTGGATTCTGCTTCTGTTATCACCAGAGAGAAACAGTAAGATATTTCTCTGCCTTTCTCCATATATCTGTCACACAATTTCTAGCACTGGCCAACTGCAAAGTTTAAATGTCACCAGTCTTGCTGCCCCTTCCTTTCCCAGAGCTTGCATATCAAGCTAATCTTACTGATCACAACAGCCCATCACTCATGGAAAGTGCTCTGAATGGGTGCCAACCAAAAGAATTACACATATGAACCACTTGTGTGACGTCCCAAATCACCGGAGTAGAGGTGGAGACCGAGGTAAAAGTTGAGGTACATTTTGCCACAAATACACAGACACCAGCTATATTTTCACTTCCTGCCTCGTGGTCTTCCTACGTGAGGAATAACGGGAGTGCAGCATGTGAAGGGAGAGAAAACAAGCAAGAAGGGAGTGGACTGTGCAACTCTGCATCCACAGCATGTCCACACATGATGCTGCTTCAGCCCACCCACTTTATGGCATTTCATCAATGAAGTAACCCAGAGCCTGGAAACTTACCTGTTTGATCATGTGTCATGTCATTATGTGATGAACTAGGATTTTGAATCTAGGTATTTTGGTTTTAAATCTCCATGGCATTTAACAAATAGCAACTGGATGAATGAAATAACAACGAATAAATAGATCCAATTAGGCTTCATTTTTCAGCAGGGAAAAGGTCTAGTCAGAGATCTAAATGTCCAGCCAATACTGTAGAACTAGGTGGGACTCCTAGAGAAGACCATGTTGGAGGCTGTGGATTGGGGAGCCCAGTACTGGCTCAGGAAAGGCCACTGGTGAGTCACACTGACTGCTTACCACTCAAGCATGAGTTGAGAGGGGTTCAGAATTTGTCCAGGGTTCTCTCCTTTGAAGCTGTGGCCACACTGCTAACTGACCTTTTTCTTTTTGCAGTCTTGGAAGTGAGCCCATCTTGGTCTGCTCTTCAGGGGTTGTTCCTTGATCCATCAGCTACAGGATCCTGGCCCTCAGTCAAGGGTGCCTCCCTGTGCTGGAGCCACAACTGCCCATAAGAAGATCTGTGGAAATTCTCCACAGGGCCATGGTAGCCCATGCTAAAGTCTGCAAGTTGGGCAGCTGACAGGTCAGATTCGCTCACTTAACTGAAAGTGGTTGGTAAATGGCTCAGGTGAAGGATGAGCATGAGTGGGGAAGGGGAAGGCAGAGAAGGATCAAGTAAGTACTTTCAAGTCAGTTTGCTTCTAGAGCAACAACAACAACAATTCTCGATTTGTTACTAATTACAACATAAAAAGTATGACCAGGTTAAATGTTCACTTGAAACGCTCACAGACACTCCCACTCTTACCCTCATTAGAGCTGCTTGCAGAAAACATGTAATGGTAGTGAAATTATAATAATCACTTCAAAGGACTCATGCACAACATATCAAGAATGCTATGCATATACT